CGGCCCCAGGTGACCGCCGGATTCCCACTCGGCCCCAGGTGACCGCCAGATTCACACTCGGCCCCAGGTGACCCCCGATTTCCCAGTCCGCCCAGGTGACCGCCAGATTCCCACTCGGCCCCGGGTGACCGCCGGATTCCCACTCCGCCCTGAGAAAAAAACCACCGCACCAGCTCCCGCTGCTCAGACCTCCCCATTGCTGGCAGTGACCCTGTGCTCACCATGTCGCAACTTCAGAGCTTCCTGAGCACGCTCCACAGCATCCAGCCGCAGGACAGAGAGCACAGCACACAGGACCATTCACGCCTGCTCAGCTACTAAGTGAAACCTGCATCATGGCACCCGGAAAAACCCGCCTCCTCTTTTGATTGGCAGGTTTGTCTGAAGGCCCTGATTGGCCAGGGAGTCTTGAGCGACTCGAGCACCTCCCTGAGGGTTGGAGCTTGCCGAAGAGACCCGGTGTAGAGGATGTCAGTCCAGGAAAAGACCTTTTCCAGATCCGCAGAGATTTGCGGTTCAGTAGCACTTGTGCCTGCCCTCCAATAGCCTACCCATCCGTCTCCCCGGCCAGCCCCAGGGAGGACCCACCACTCCACAGACGACCGCTCAGCCGCTTGCTCCTCCCCTTTGTGGGCAGTGACCATGTCCTCACCAAGACTGACTTCAGCCTGGACTTCCCTCACTCTGTAGGCTCTTCCCCTTCTTCCTCCTGGAATCAAGGTGGATAGCTTGAATAGCCCATTATTCAACTTGCAGTGAAGTTATCAATCTGTCCCACATGTAGAGGGGTGCCCAGGATATTAACAATTAAAGAGAGATATTGGGAAGCAAGATTTTTGTTTTGTGGCTGTTGGGATTCAGACCTGGAACAAGCGCCTGACACGCATACATTTAACACATAAAGCTGAACCTCCAGGTTCTCCCAGCTCTACTCAGTCCCCACCTGTTACAGGGCATGGCTGGCACACTCCACCTTGTACCTTGAACTTTCCCGTCTATGGGCTGGGCTTTCCCTCCCCCAGAGGCTCTTCCTATATAATTCTGACATTTTGTATTCTTTGTCTCTCTGTTTCTCTGTCTCCCTCCTCATCCCTCTCCTGTCCTTCCCTCTCCTTCCCCCTCTGCTTTCCTTCCCAACGCCCCCCCCCCCGCGCGCGCGCGCATTTTTGTCTCCCAGCTTACCTTGCTCCACGTTTCTCTTTCTCCCCACCACCCTCCTCATTCTACCCACCCACAGCAACTTCTCTGACCTCCTTGGGAACTAGTGAACCCTCTAAAGAGCTGCCCCCAACAAACCCGCAAATACTCGAATTTGGCTTGGGTAGAGTCCTTCATGCTGGGCTTAGGTAAACCATAGCTAGTATTCACCTAGTAGGTACGAGAACGCTGGGAGGAAAAAAGGAAACAGACGACAAGCCCTGTGGAGCACTATTGTTAGCCGGCATGTCTTCCTCAGTGGGATGGTGAACACACATCCACACACAGAGCTGTGTTAGTAAAGATTCTCTAGATGATCTGACCTGATAGGATCATCTATGTATGTAGAAAGTGGCTTTATTAGAATATTTCACAGGCTGTGGTCTAACTAGTCCAACAATGGCTAACTTAGCCTGTGTAGGAGTAGGAAAACCGATATGTGAACCTATCCAGACTCCCTCAATCCCAATACTTACTGTCTTGAAGGAAATCATTGCTTTGGAAATGACGCCTATTCCCTCCTTGCCTGCCACAGGGGAGACAAAAATCTTTCTCAGTTCTTCCCTCTTGTCTTATGTGATGGCTATTCCTGGTAGTCAAACTGACTACAGGTGGAACTGACTAAAAGTAAAAGAGTTGGGGTACTTTGGGGGATTTTTTTAAAATCTTTTGTTGTTGTTGTTTTTTCGAGACAGGGTTTCTCTGTATAGCCCTGGCTGTCCTGAACTCACTCTGTAGACCACGCTGGCCTCGAACTCAGAAATCCGCCTGCTTCTGCCTCCCAAGTGCTAGGATCAAAGGCGTGCACCACCACTGCCCGGCGGGGGATTTTTCTTAATTATAGGTTTTGAAATGTGAAAACCTTTCTTTAATCTGGATTTTTTTGAGGTGTTAATATTAACCTTTAATCTAGACCACAACTGCTGATGGCAGCCTACATATATAAAGGACATTGAAGATGGTAACTCGTTCTCTATGTCTATTTTACCTTATCAATGGCTAGCAAATTCTTTCTTTCTTTTCTTTTCTTTTTTTCCCCTGGCATTGAAGAGCCTACTTCTATCGATCTCTGGTACATACTGAAGACAAACTGAGACACTCAGCCACATAGATTGAACCACACTGGATTCTCCAACTTTCCATTGTTAAACAGCTATCATTAGACTGTGATTTATCATTCTAATAAATCCACTCTCAACATGTATATAGAGATTCATTCTATCAGTTCAGTTCATCAAGAGAATCTTTAATAATACCGCTGTGTGTACGCATGCGTGCACTGAGTTTTTGTTTCCGGTTTTCCACCATCCCCCTGAGGAAGATGTGCTGGCCAACAATAGAGCTCCACAGGGTTTGTCATCTGTTTCCTGCCTTTCTCCCAGGCTTGTCTCATACCTACCAGGTGAGAAATAGCTGCAGTTTACCTGAACCCAGCATGGAGGCACAAAACAAAACTCTTGTTTCCTAAAATCCCTTTTTAATTGTTAATATTCTGGGTACCTACACTTCCGCTTGTGGGACAGACAGATTGATAACTGCACTGCAACCTGAGTGATGGGCTATGAGAGCTATCCACCCTGATTCCAGGAGGAAGAAAGGGAAGAGCCTATTGAGTGCAGAGAGTGGAGCTCGGGCAACCTCTTAAGTCTCAATGTCGTAAGCACAAGGCCACCGCCCACAAAGGGGAGGAGCTGTGGAAGGTGGAGTAGGTGGAGTCCACCCCAGGGCTAGGTGGGAAGACAGATGGGAAGACAGACTACTGGAGGATCAGTCACAAGTGTTACTGAAATTCAAATCTCTGTAAATATAGAAAAGATCTGGCTCTGGACTGGAAGCCTGGGCCAGGAAACACTATGCTGTAACCCTTCAGCACACTCTAACCCCAAGAGAAGTGCTCGAGTCACTCAAGACTCACTGACCAATCAGTCTCCAGGCTGACCTGCTAGTCAGAGGCGGAGGAGGCGGGATCTTCCGGGTGTGATGCTGCAGGCTGAGCTTAGTAGCTGAGCAGGCTTGAATGGTTCAGTGTTATGTGTGCGCTCTACGTGCTCCTGCTGGGTGTTGTGAAGGAGGCTGCACATAAACAGGAGGTGCAGGCTGCTGAGCAGAGGAAGCTTGAGTAGTGGGTTCTCCCTGAGACTGGGTGGGAAGACAGCTGGCCAGGTTATTTGGAGGATAGGCAGAAGTAATACTGAAATGCAAATCTTTGTAGATTAGGAAAAGCTCTAGGCATGGACTGGAAGCCTGGGCCAGGAACCGCTATGCTGTGTTTTTTCCATTCTTAAGGGAGGTGTTCGTGTCACTCAAGATTCATTGGCTAGTCAGGGCCTCCAGGCAGAACTGCCAGTCAGACTAGGCAGGGTGTTCTTCTGGGTTCCATGTTGTTGGTTAAGTCATGTAGCTGAAGTAGGCTTGAATGGTAAGGTGAGAGGTGCCCTGAACGCTGGTGGTGGGTGGTGTGAGGGGAGTTCAGGCAAGCTCTGAAATCGGGAAGTGGTTAGCACAGTCACTGTTCACATTCGGGAACAGCAGCCGGCTGAGCATGGGAAGCTGGTGTGTTGTGTCTTCTCTGGGGCTGGGTGGGAAACTGTGGTAAGTTGTGGACACCTGTGAGGTCCCTTGTGGCTCTAAGCGCTCTCTGGAATGGCTGTGGCCTCTGAATAACTTCACTTATGGGGGCTGCATCTGGGCAAAGCATTTCGATCAGGGGCTTGTGTGTAGAAACATCCTTGGCAGGATACCAAACTTGGAGAGGCCTAGTGTCTCTACTGTCTACTACAAGTTCTTCCCTTAGCATTTGACATTTGGGTATAAGATCCATTTGGAGTTAATTTGTGTAGGTGGTAAAAGGCATCTCATGTGTTGGGTAGCAATCCAATATTAAGGTGTGACGTAGAAAAGTATAGTTGATGATGTAAAGGATTTACCAATGCTTAGGGGATAGTAAGGCACACCAAGTAGAACTTAGCTGAGGGAGAACTGCCTCTAAAACATCCCACAGATAAGTAGTTATGCTAACCAGGCCTGTTAGAGATTAGGATACTAGGATACACATTTGTTCACCAGGACTGTCCAGAAATTTGGCTCTAAATCGTGACAGATGAGACACCCCTTATTTACAACCAGCCACCATGCAATTCCTTATATTAAAAAACAAGTCTCTAACAAGCTGTTCAAGGGGGTCCTTAAGGATCATAACCAACAGTAAGGCCTGGTGTGCCATACAGGTCTAATTTTCTTGAGAAAAGCATAGTTCTGCCACATGGACAAGATGACACCTGGTGACAACAAGTCTTTGAAAAAGAAAAAAACAATCTGTTGTGTTGAGAGCTGGCCTAACCAAGCAAGGCTTTCTCTGAGGCACAGCAGCTTTTTTTCAAACCCAGGAACATGCTTGGCAGAACCAATAACAGCCTGTGGCCTAGACCTTGGGAGCTTTCCCAAAGACCCCAATGTACTCAGAAAAAAACAGAGCTCCTTCCCTAAAGCCTGGAATCTGCTTATGAGAGCTGTCATGGTCTGGGGCCGGGTTCTTTGGGACGAGGTTGATTCAGATTTTGAGAATACAACTCTTTCCACCACATGGGGTTGTGGTTTTCAGTCCTAAATCCATTGTATGCTTAGTTAGGCTTATCAGTTTAAGATGCCCTGAGTATCTCCTGAGTTTGTCCCACTGTGTGATAGTTTCTGATGACTTCATAGAAGTCTCCCATTTCTTTCTATTTTTCACTGTAAGTAGTATACTGTGGGGCAGTGGGCTATGAGAAAAAGCCAGAAAGCTTGGTAGAAAGATCTGAAGCCCCAGGAACCTTGGTCTGAAGAAGGCCAGTAGGATGGGAGGCCGCTTTGAACTTTCCCAAAGCCATCAGGCTCTCTTAGCTTCCGCTCCCCACAGCCCCTCCCACGGAGAGGTCCATGGCCTTGATCACGTAGGAAAAAACACCTCCATGCAAATAAGGCATTCCCAAGCTCTCAAACCAAACCAATAGAAGCTACCTGCTCTCCCCCCAAAACTGTATATATCCCCCGAAGCTCAAAAGTAAAGATGTTGTGTGGTGTGAGACCTTTCCCGCTGTCGGAGTGCTTTTTCGAGATTCCTCCTCGCCAGTCGCCGGCTATCCTGCGCATTTCAAAGGATGACAACACTTCTCTCCTCCCCGTGGGCAGAGCTGTAACACTTTTCCTTCTGCGGGCACTCCCGAGCTGCCCTCGGAAAGAGGGAACTGAAAGAGCTTGCCAGCCTTTGGAGGCTGGGACAGAGGCAGACCCTCCAGTCTGCCTCCCCCATGTCCTCTCGGGCCCAGCCGTCCGAGGCTGCTGTAGCTGCAATTCGAGAGGCTACACTGGCACTGCCCTGTGCTGTGCTCCAGCTCACAGCCGCGCTCTCGCTCACTCCTGCCAGAGCCTTGTGCCACTGCAGCTGCGGTTTCCCAGACAGTCTCGGAGCCGGCGCTCAGTGCCGGAATGCCTGCCGCCCACACCGCCACCCACACCCTATGAAACCACCCGCGACCCTGCACGGTATACAAGATGCTATTCTTAAAAGGCTTACTTAGCATAAGACATAGCTTCTGTAAGGCCTCCCCACCCCAGTTTTTATACTTTCTACCTTCTACTTTTTCTTTTTCATCCTCTGGGACTTTCTACTTAGGAGCTTGTCACTGATGTTGTTTCAAGGCACTGGTGTACTTAAGAAATAATTCTGGGAATATCTTTGCTGTGCAAATATCTGTCTAAGTGGCTAGATTTTCAGTCTCTAGTCCATAAATTATTCAAAACTTAACCTGGGGCCTGAACCTAAAAGAGACTTAAGGGTGACAGCCTAGGTGGGAAATAAAATCTATTCTCACCTGGCTCTTCTTTGAGCATTAGCCAGAGCTGAATGCATGGTATCATTAAAGAGATTTCTCTTAATTAATCTTTCCATTGTGTGTGCAGTGATTTAAAAGAGTTCTTTCAGGACTTCAAAGACTACTGAGATATACAAAGGCTTTAACAGAACAATTACACAGTAAGGGTTTTACTCTTGTATGTAGATCCCAGGAAGTGCAAAACTTTACCACACTGTGTTTATGGAGTTTCTCTGAAGTTTGACTTTTTTTCATGATTTGTAAGACTACTGCTACACGCAAAGGCTTTACTACATTGTCTACATTTATATATTCTCTCTGGAGTGGGGCCGAAAAGGGATGGCTTGGTCTCCCCCATAGAGCACGGGGTCTGAGATAGCCGGGGACCCACCAGGGACATGGCCTGTCAGGGACGGCACTCATCTCCCCACACTCCCGGATTCCAGACGACCCCCACATGTGCCTACATACATCCCCATTAGCCTGCACCTTGCAGACACGTTTGGCTCAGAATAGCCTCTCCCAGAGAGGTTTTGCCGCACCATCCAGGTAGAGGGCGTGACTAACAGATTTCCATATTCATGAGTTATCTACAGGCCAGGGGAGTGTAGTTAATTATGCTATTTCTCCCTAGTCTCTCCTCTTTCCCACTCCCCCCCCCTTTCTTTTGTTTTTTTCGAGACAGGGTTTCTCTGTGTAGCCCTGGCTGTCCTCTGCCTCCCAAGTGCTGGGATTAAAGGTGTGCGCCACCACCGCCTGGCACCCCACTCCCTATTTAAGTCAGCTCCCCCTGGCTTTCACGGGGGAAAGGGGGCACATGCACATCCAGATCCAACTATCTTGCTATGAACAATAAACTACTCCTTGGAAACCCAGTCCACGTGTCTTCTGGGGCCTGCCGCCGCAAAGCTTCCAGCTTTAAAACTTCAGACTTTCTTGTGTATGCAGGACCTGCCGGAGTCGAAAGCCCTGGGACTCCGCCACTCACCTGTCTGCAGGTCACTGCTGTGGTCCTGAGACCCTACTGCCGCGCAAGTTTTTCCCCACATTTTGGCGCACCAACGTGGAACTCCCATGTGACAGCAAGAACCCCCAGAACGGTGGCCAATCTTGGCATGTGGGCTTGTCACAGCACAACGCCGCATGCCCCCCCACAATCTCCGTTCTGCTGTGCTTGTCCAAACACAACATCTGGCTGGCGACTTCCAGGACAAGCTTGACCAGGCAATGGCCTCTACTATGGACAGCCTTGAATCTCTTCAACACCAGATAACCTCTTTAGCAGGAGTGGCTCTCCAAAACCGGAGGGTCCTGGACTTGTTGACTGCTGAACAAGTGGGGCCTTGTGTTTTGCTAGGGGAGGAGTATTGCTTCTATGTCAATGAATCTGGGCTGGTAGAACAAGATGTACAAATGCTCAAAGAGCTCTGGGAGAACCTCTGGGCATGCTATACTCCCAACACTCCTACCTCTTGGTACTCTAAGCCCTTGATGGCTTGGATTCTTCCCCTCTTTGACCCCATACTAGCCATTGGAGCCTTGCTTCTCTTGGCACCCTGCCTCATTCAGTTTCTAAAACAACAGATGAGTAGCATTGCAAAAGTAACTACCAATCAGGTCTTGGTTCAGTATCAAACTGTTCCCAACACAGGAGACACTTATTCTGATGACACTTCTCCTTTATAAAGAAAAGAGAGGGAATTGTGGGGCGGTGAGCGATGAGAGACAGCTGGGCGTCTGGTTGAATGAGCTTTTGAACCCCGGAGACCCCCTGGGACAGAAGGTATTCAGCTCTGTTCCTGGGCCCCTGGCTCTCTCAGCTTAGCCCTCCACAACCCCTCCCACAGAGAGAGGTCTATGGCCATCTGTCACTTAGGAGTAGCACCCCCCCACATGCAGATGAGGCATCCCCAAGCTCTCAGACAAAGCCAATAGGGGTTACCTCTGCCCACCCCAGACTGTATATATTTAGCCTAACTCAGAAGTAAAGTGAACACGAGAATCATCCAGTTGTCCGACAGCTTCTGTTGTGGACAGTCCCTCTTCGCCAGCCAGCTGGTGCCTCACCGGGGCACTTCACTGCTGTAGCAAGAGCTGCCAGAGATTCTCATGGGACCCCATCTGGAGCCGGTCCAACACTCTGGCATGTATTATTTTATATATTTGTAGATAACTGTGCTGTGAAAAGTGCTGGAGTCCATCTCTGGTGTGGTTCTGGAACCTGAGGACAGACGTGTGGTCTCAGCAAAAGTGAAGACTCTGACTACCTGTTGACTTTCAACCCAGTGGCACTGAATAGCCCAAGTCACCTTCCTTTATACAATCACAAGCCTGCTACCACGTGCAATGATATCGTTGGTTATTCTACTTAATGAAATCATAACATCAGTATTGTAAAAGCCCCATCACTTTAAAAGCCGCAAATAGTTTTCCTTCCTCCTTCTCATCTCCTGCTAGGTCAATTACTCCCTATAACCTGATTTTGCACTACAAAGCACAATCTCAGCGTGCCAAAGATAAATGGATGGCCAGAAACATCCCATGGACATGAGCACATACCCAGCCGGTTATACAAGGTGAGACAGATTAAACATTTGTGGGTATAAGCCCATTCATCAAATAGCACCCCTCTGTCATAATACTTTTGTAACTGCACATAGATACATGCTCACTGTACCAAGCACCCTTTCCTGATAAGCGCCTATCAATGTGATACCATCTTTCTAAGAACCATTTTTAAGTCTCTATTGATCAGACACAGCTTCCTCAGAACAGTTATGTAAGCAGGTTCCACTGCTCTCCACAACTGCCATAGGCTTACTAAGTGTGACTGTAGTTGTTTCTCAAGGGACAAGACTACATGTCCCAAAATACTCTGGATTAATGGTCGCTCCTGGAGGATCAACAGGGGCAAAGAGAGGAGAGGAGGGTTTTACTCCTTGAAAGAGTATTGAGAAAAACACAGAATCGCTCACTGAACTTTCAGCCTACATGATCCCAGCCTTGCCCATGACTGACAAGGTGAAAGTAAACATTGCTATGAGTATTAACAGAGTAGCAAAAGCAAGGAGAGCTTGCAGCACATGTGATCTAGATAATAAGCATAGAAGCACCGAATTCACCCCAGGTCTTTGCCAAGTGGGAAGGGATTTCCACAGGCCTTGCCACAGTAGAATCCTATCAGTGAAGCACACATACACAGTTCCCTGCATAGCCACTGCCAGAAAAGGCTTTGTCACACTGCTTATATTCATAGGGTTTCTTTCCAGTATGTGTCCTTTTATGTATTTGTAGAGAACTGTGATATACAAATTTTGGGAACAAGCGAAATAAACATGTTCTAAGTACTGCTTTTTTGTTATTGGACTTTGTTTAATCATAGAACGAAACTATGTTCAAGTTCCTAGGCTCTAGGGTTGCTGGAGACTTCCTAATAGCTGAACAGCTTCTGTTCATCTTTTCTTCCATAAAACATAATGACTATTCCTAACCACAAAGAACAAATGGATATGATTTGTTAGATCATAAAATCTATATTCTGTAACCATTGACATCGTTCGATCACATGAAGAAAGCCTCTATCCCTAAGTGCTGACTCGTAGAAAAAATGTACCTGGCACATTGTTTGTGGTTTTCAAGATTAAAAGCTTTGTATCATGGGTTGCATTTCAGGTATTGAGTATATTCTACAGTCCTGATTAGTCAGTAGTGGCTTGATTACAATAAATTCTTGTCATCTGCATTGACCTGGTGTTGGAGTTGTATTGGATCTAAGCAGACCCAGAACACAAAGGCTTTACCACATTGCTTACATGAATAGAATCTCTCTAGTATGAATACTTTCATAATGATGAAGACTATAAAAATGGCTTCACCATATTAAATACATTCATGAGATCTCTCTCCAGTATGAATTCTTTCATGCCTTTGAAGATGACTTTGACGTGCAAAGGCTTTATCACAGTGGATACATTCATAGGGTTTCTCTCCAGTGTGTGTCCTTTTATGTACTTGGAAACTACTGTGACGTGCAAAGGCTTTGCCACAATGGTTACATTCATAGGGTTTCTCTCCAGTATGTGTTCTTTTATGTATTTGGAGATGACCATGACGTGCAAAAGCTTTACCACATTGATTGCATTCGTAGGGTTTCTCTCCAGTATGTGTCCTTGTATGGATTTGGAGACTATTATGATATGAGAAGGCTTTATCACATTGATTACATTTGTAAGGTTTCTCTCCAGTGTGTGTTCTTTTATGCATTTGGAGATGACTGTAACATACAAAGGCTTTACCACATTGGCTACATTCATAGGGTTTCTCTCCAGTATGTGATCTCTTATGTACTTGAAGACTATTGTAATATGCAAAGGCTTTACCACAATGGTTACATTCATAGGGTTTCTCTCCAGTATGTGTTCTTTTATGTATTCGGAGATGATTTTGACATACAAAGGCTTTACCACAATGGTTACATTCATAGGGTTTCTCTCCAGTATGTGTTCTTTTATGTATTTGGAGATGACTATGACATACAAAGGCTTTACCACATTGATTGCATTCATAGGATTTCTCTCCAGTATGTGTTCTTTTATGTATTCGGAGATGACTGTAACGTGCAAAGGCTTCACCACATTGATTACATTTATAAGGTTTCTCTCCAGTATGAATTCTTTCATTCCTTTGAGGGTGACTTTGATATGCAAAGGATTTACAACATGGAGTATATTCAGAGATTTTCTCTCCAGTATGACTTCTTTCATGCCTGCAAAGATAATTGGCACATGTGAAAGCTTAACCACATTCATTACACTGATGAATTTTTTTATCTGTAGGAATTAATTTTACAATTTGGTTTAATGGTAAAGAGGAATCAGATCTTAATGTTTTATCAGTTTATTTACATTCATGGTTTCCCCTACACTTTGGGTTGTTTTGCGTCTTTCAAGATACTTGTGATGGTAAGAGCATTTATTGAGTGCCTCATATTTATGGTATCATTTTTCTATGAAGTTGTCACATATTTGAAGGAACTAGGAAAAACTCAGAGCTTTACCATACTGATTGCATTCATAAATTTTCCTTTAATATGAGTCATACTACATTTGAAAGTGTACCAGGACAAACAGAAGGATTTCCACATTCTTAGTACTCACAGGCATTTTCTGCAGTGTGAATTTATGGATGTATTCCCAATGAAGTTGGAAAACCAATCAATTGTAAACTTGTATCATACTCAGAAAGTCTACTAAAAGTGGGGGCTACTATGTACCTTCTAACTCTTCTGGGAGAGAGAGAGAGAGAGAGAGAGAGAGAGAGAGAGACAGAGACACAGAGGTACTTTGCTTCTTTCAATATCCCTGTGCTCACATGGCTTGAATCCATTATGACATATGATACATCTATTTAAAAAAGAGTAACAAATAAAATAACATTTGGGACAACACACTGCATTCAGACTATGGTCCTCACAGACATGGGGCATAATGATTACGGTTTCTCCAAAACAATTTTCTCGAGTCTCATAAACTGCCCATCGCACTGAATTTAGCAATGTTACTACCAGTAGAAGAGTAATCCTAGCTTTACTATGGTCGGACATTATAAGAGTGTGAACATATATTTATCACCTAGTGAGCGTGATTAACCTTTTGAAATCTGAGTGGTATGAAACTAAACAGATTGGCAGTTCTTTAGCATAGCTCTAACGGGACTATCATACAAATGGTGATATCTGTTAAGGCATTGTTTCTTTCTTAAAAGAATGCCTTGCAAACACAAATCAGATAGCTGACACTGAGGTACATAGTTTTGTGAGAACTTAATAATTGCTCATATATTTCAAACAGTAATTTTTTACACTGTTGCTTCTCTTTTAAACTTCCAGAACACATTAAAATTTCTACAGAGGCATATTCATATAAACTTGCACATGAAAATTACCTTCCATGTCTTCTAGAACTTTGACAATGTTCTTCACTAGTATGGTCTTCCCAATTGTAGCCTAAAATATAGTACCAGAAAATGTATGATATATTATTGGAAATCAGGCAAAATTTAAGTTACTATCTTCAGTGAACCTAAGAACAATGTCCAACTTATTCACTTTGTTCTTCTTCATTCTCAATTGAAATTACAGAAGCATCAATAAAAAAAGACAGTTGTACACTTATTTTAAAGAGTGAAAGGAAATCCACTATCTTACCTATAGCAGTGAGGTTGCTGTAGGTCTCCAGCATCACATCTTTGTAGAGACTCTTCTGTGAAGGATCCAGCAAAGCCCACTCTTCCCGAGTGAAGTTCACATGCACATCATCATAGGTCACTGCATCCTAAAATATACCATACATGTATACAAGAGAAAGCATGAAAATGACAACACAATAAATGTATATTTCATTGACAATACAGTCATCTAATTCTGCTGTGTCCTCCACTTATTTCCTAAGCAGAAGTTTTATGTAAGCTCCAAATCATTTAAGAAGAAAACTAAATGAGGTTCACCTCTGCCATTTCTCTGCTGCTCTTTGAATAGGATATAATCTTGCAAAAGAAATGCTAATAAGACACAAAAGGGGGGGAGGGGGAGAGGAGAGAGAGAGAGAGAGAGAGGGAGAAAGAGAGAGAGAGAGGCAAACAGATCAACAATACTATGCACATATCAGGGAAATTGCATGAACAATTACTAATTACAAAAACTGATGGGTAATCTGGGTGTACTGACTCCTGCCTTTATTTCTAGCACTCAGGAGACAGACGCAGGTCTATCTCATTGACTTGGATGTCAGCATGGTTTGTGCAATGAATTCCAGAACAGCTAGTATGTACATTAAAAACCTGACTTGGCAGTCTTGGGTTGGTGCACTGCACCTCACTCCATAATACTACCTTCCTCCTAAGAGGTTTGCTCTGTCCTGACACACACACCTGGGACATCCCTCCACCCACACCTGCTGGAACCCTAGCAAGCCACATGGGCTCTGCCCTGCCCTATGGGGCTCCATCCGCCTTCTGCTCTGCACCTACACCTGCAGTGAGGATTGGTGCACTACACTACACCCCACCCTCTGGCTCTGCCTGCCTCTCAGAAGGCCTGCTCAGACCCTGGACACAGGGCTCCACCTACCTCCCAGGAGGCCTGCTCCAACTGATAACCAGGCCAGCCAACACCAGTGAAAACCAGACAGCTAAAGGCAAGAACAAGAATATAATCAACAAAAGCTAATGTAATGTGGCACCATCAGAACCCAGCTCTCCTACCACAGCCAGCCCTGGAAATCCTAACACACCTGAAGAACAAGACTGTGACCTTAAACCGCAATCTCATGAAGATGGTAGAGGCCTTTAAAGAAAATAAATAATTCCCTTAAAGTGATACAGGAAAACATAATCAAACAGGTTGAAGCACTTAAAGAAGAAACAAATAAATCCATTAAAGAAATACAAGAAAATACAATCAAACAGGCAGAAGATATGAATAAAATGGTCCAAGACCTAAAAATGAAAATAGAAGCAATAAACAAAATGCAAACAGAGGCAACCCTGGAGATCGAAAGCCTACGAAAGAGTATGGAAATGACAGATGCAAGCATCATCAACAGAATGCAAGAGATAGAAGAAGGAATCTCATGCATAGAAGATACCATAGAAGAAATTGATGCACCACTTAAAGAAAATGTCAAATGTAAAATGTTCCTAATTCAAAACATCTAGGAAATCTGGGACACTATGTAAAGACCAAACCTAAAAATAATAGGAATAGAAGAGGGTGAAGATTTCGAGTACAAAAGACCAGAAAACATCTTCAACAAAATTATAAAAGAAAACTTTCCTAACCTAAAGAAATGTCTAACCTAAAGAGAAGCTTAAAGAACACCAAACAGATTAGACTAGAAAATTCTTCAACCACATAATAATCAAAACACTTAATGTACAGAGCAAAGAAAGAATATTAAAAGCTGCAAGGGGAAAAGGCCAAGTAACATATAAAGGCAGACCTATCAGAATTACACCTGACTTCTAAACAAAGACTCTAAAAGCCAGGAGATCCTAGACCGATCTCTTGCAGACCCTGAGAGACCACAGATGCCAGCCCAGGCTACTATAACCAGCAAAAATTTCAATCTCCATAGAGGGAAAAGCTAAGATATTCCCTCAAAAAACCAAATTTAAACAACATCTTTCTACTAATCCACCCCTACAGAGGATACAAGAAGGAGAAGACCAACAAAAGGAGGGTAACAAAAACACCCAAGAAAACACAAGAAATTAATAATCTCACAGCAAAACCAAAACAATAGAATCACACACAAACACACATATCACCACTTCCAATATCAAAATAATAGAAACTAACAAGCATTGGTTATACATATCTCAACATCAATCAATGTACTCAATTTCTCAATAAAAAGATACAGGCTAACAGACTGGATACATAAACAGGATCCATCATTCTGCTGCATGCAAGAAACACACCTCAGAAACAAAGTTAGACACTACCTCAGTGTAAAGGATTGGAAAAAGGTTTTCCCAAGAAAACAGACCCAAGAAACAAACTGGAGTAGCTATTCTAATATCTAATAAAATAGACTTTCAACCAAAGTTATCAAAAGAAATGGGGAAGGATACTTCATACTCATGAAAGTAAAATTCCACCAAGATATCTCAACTCTGAACATCTATGCTAAAAATGCAAGGGCAACCACATTTGTAAAAGAAACATTACTAAAGCTTAAATCACACATTGAACCCCACACAATAATAGTGGAGGACTTCAACATCCCACATTCACCAACGGACAGATCATCAAAACAGAAACTAAACAGAGAATTGTGTTATGAACCATATGGGTTTAACAGATATCTACAGAATCACTCATCCAAAAACAAAAACAACAACAACAAAATGCCTTCTACTCCGCATCTCACAGAACTCTCTCTAAAACTGACCATATAATCAAGCCTCAACAGATACAAGAAGATTGAAATAACCTCATGCATTCTATCAGATCACTATGGATTAAGGCTGGACTTCTACAACAACAGAAACAATAGAAAGACCACATAGTCATGGAACATGAATAACTCTCTACTCAATGATTCCTTAGTCAGGGTAGAAATAAAAAAAGAAATTAAAGACTTTTTTAGAATTCAATGAAAATAAAGGCACAACATACCAAAACTTATTGGATATGCTGAAAGCAGTGGTCAGAGGAAAAATTCAGATCACCAAGTCCCTTCATAAAGAAATTGGAGAGGTCTCATACTAGCAACTTAACAGCACACCTGGACAAAAAGAAGCAAACAAACAAGGAGGAATAGACAGCAGGAAAGAATCAAACTCCAGCTGAAAACAATCAATTAGAAACAAAGAAAACAATACAAAAAATTGGCAAAATCAAGAGCTGATTCTTTGAGAAAAATCAACAAGATAGACAAACCCTTAGCTAAACTAACTAAAAGCCACAGAGACAGTATCCAAATTAATGAAAACAGAAATGAAAAAGGAGGCATCACAACAGAAACTGACGAAATTCAAAAAAACCATTAAGTCATACTTCAAAAGCCTGTACTCCTCAAAACTGGAAAATGGTAAGGAAATGGATGATTTTCTAGACAGATATCATGTACCAAAGTTAAATTAAAATCAGGTAAACTATATAAACAGTCCCATAACTCCAAGGAAATAGAAGCAGTCATTAAAATTCTCCCAACCAAAATTGAGCTAATACCAATACTCCTCAAACCATCCCACAAAATAGAAACAGAAGAAACACTGCCAAATTCATTCTGTGAAGCCACAATGACTCTAATGCCTAAACTACACAAAGACTCAAGAGAGAAAGAGAATTTCAGATTAATTTTGCTTATGAACATTAACGAAAAAATACTCAATAAAATTCTCGCAAGCTAAATCTAGGAACACACTGAAAACATCATTCACCATGCTTAATTAAGTAGGCTTCATCTCAGGGATGCAGGGATGGCTCCATATATGAAAACCCATCAATATAATCCATCATATAAACAAATTGAAAGGAAAACAAATCACATGATCATTTCCTTAGATGCTGAAAAAGCCTTTGACAAAATCCAACACTCCTTCATGTTAAAAGTCTTGGAGAGATCAGGGATGCAACGCACATACCTAAACATAATAAAAGCAATATACAGAAAGCCAATAGCCAACATCAAATTAAATGGAAAGAAACTTGAAGCAATCCCACTAAAATCAAGGATAAGACAAGGGTGCCCATTTGCTCCCTATCTGTTTAACATATTACTTGAAGTTCTAACTAGAGCAATAAGACAACAAAAGGAAATCAGGTGGATACAAATTGAAAAGGAATAAGTCAACGTATCACTATTCATGGATAATATGATAGTATACATAAGTGACCCCCAAAATACTACCAGGGAACCCCTACAGCAGATAAACACCATTAGCAAAGTGGCTGGCAACAAAATTAACTCAAAGAAATTAGTAGCCTTCCTTTGTACAAATGATAAAGGAGCAGAGAAAGAAATTAGGGAAACAACACCCTTCACAATAGGCACAAATAATATAAAATACCTTGGTATAACTCTAATGAAACAAGTGAAAGACCTGTATGACAAGAACTTCAAGTCCCTGAAGAAAAAAATTGAACAAGATAGCAGAAAATGAAAAGATCTCCCATGTTCATGGATTAGTAGAATTACCATTGTGAAAACGGCCAACTCATCAAAAGCAATGTAAAGATTCAGTGCGATCCCCATCAAAATCCCAACAGAATGTTTTACAGACCTTGAAAGAGCAATTCTCAACTTCATATTAAAAAGATAAAAAACCCATGATTGCCAAAACAATCCTGAATAATAAAAGAACTTCTGAGGGAATCACCATCCTTGACTTCAAGCTGTACTACAGAGCAATAGTCATAAAAACTGCATGGTACTGGTACAAGAACAAACAGATTGATCAATGGAATCAAATTGAAGACCTAGAAATAAACCCATACACCTATGGACACTTGATTTTTGAGAAAAAAAGTCAAACCATATCATGGAAAAGGAAGAGCATCTTCAACAAATGGTGCTGGCCTAACTGGATATGTGCATGTAGAAGAATGCAAATAGATCCATATTCATCACCCTGCAGAAAACTCAAGTCCAAGTGGATCAAGAATCTCAACATAAAACTAGATACACTAAATCTCATAGAAGAGGAACTGGGAAATAGCCTTGAATGCCTTGGTACAGGAAACAAATGCCTAAAGAAAACACCAGTGGCACAGGCTATATGATCATGGGACATCATGAAACTGAAAGTTTCTGTAAGGCAAAGGACA